AAGTGTTCAAAAAGATAGGTGAGATCAAGAGCGTATTAAGAAGGTTTCTTCTTAATAGAACCTTAGAACCTTAGAACCTTCTTAATACGCTCTAGGTGAGATGTCCATGTTGATAGATAAGTGTTAAAAAGCCCGATCATTTTACGTTTTGGGGATAAATTTTTGGTCACATCAGTTGGACCATTTGCTTAGATTACATCTATGGCAGAATGTGCTATAGCCCTGCGGCAGCGATCCGCGGGCTATATAGTACTAGAGCTAAGTCTATACTAGGCTGTACTTAGTACTTTACTGTACAGCGTAGCCTACAGTGTGTCGGCGCATATGATCATTGCCAATGGCAATGCGTTGACTATTGTAACTAACATCTACCAATTGACTAAATGGTATGTGACCGTAATTGCGATGAAAACAAATTGCATAATTTAGAAACCTACTATACATGAAATATTTTTCATCTAGAGCTACGAGAAACGTATAAAACTCGTATTATAATACCTGTATTTTGAAAATTACGCCATCAAACGTTACACATCGATGTGCTTTTGTTTTTGTAAATAACAGAAATCGCTGAGTTGTGTGCCGCCATCTATTGGGAGGTATGTTTAATTTCGGCTCACTCACCTGCAGCAGAGCACTGGAGCAAAATCAGATCGTATATTGTCATACCTGTTCCGCAATTACACATAAATATGTGTATTAAGATGTAATCGCAGTGACCCCGTATAGACATACCTAATATGACTCATTAGGGAAATGTACTCAAGTACATATTACTTGTTTGAGTTCAAGAGACAGGCACTCCACATTTTACAGCTTATTTATTTGTTTTACAAGCTATTTACGCCTGCTTAATTTAGTTTTTCACAACCACTTGCCACGCATTTGGTGACTCTTGAATGTAATTTAATTTACATCATTCAATTTTATAGAAACAAGATTTAAAAACTTCACATGCTCAGAATCGGCTCAAACTGCACAGACTATTGTTATGCCGACATTGGGCCACATTTCATTTTTACTCTGCACAGATAGCAACACTTTTTCCTTTGTCATCGATATTCAGCTCAGAGATATCACCAAAAGATCAATGCAACCTTATTTTAGAACATATTACTTTGTGTGCATTTCACTGTGACGCAGTGTTCACATAGCAATTCAAAGGACTGAATCCAAATAAAATTATAATGCAGATAATCATTTTATTCTACATATCAACCTTCCATTACAAAATTATCTACATTACGAGCAGCGAGATTCATACAGATATACATATATGAAATGAGATACAAACAACCGTTGTGAGCAATCAACATGCTTGCAGGGAGGAAACACATGTTCCCAACCAAATCTAATTACCCATGGAAGCTGTTGATCATGAGACAGAGTATCAAACACTAATGGTGATGTGGTACTCAACACACATTTCAAGGCACATCAGGTACATACACATCGTATCATTGCTATCATACAAAACTGTGTGCAATACGGCAGAATATGTAAAAAAACAATATGATGTTATGTCGATGATGTTAATTTCATAATTCAATAATTAATAAATCAATAATTCTTGGTTTATCATCTCCACATCTATAATACTTCATACTCGAGGAAAACCAATCAGACACACTCGTTTTCTGTCTGTCTGTCTGACTCTCTCTCTCTCTTTCTCTCTCTCTCTCTCTTTCTCTCTCTGTCTCTCTCTCTCTCGCGATTATCCACAATCTAAGATTTTTGCTTGCTGGAGTATCAACTTTCAGTAGTATCCTCTGCCATAGCTAAGCATGTGTAGCATGGACACCCGATTGGTTTGCCTTCTTCTTCTTTTTCTTCTTCTTCGTCTTCGTATTCGTCGTCTCCTTCTTCTTCTTCTTCTTCTTCTTCTTCTTCTTCTTCTTCTTCTTCTTCTTCTCCTTCCTCTTCTTCTTCTTCTTCTTCTTCTTCTTTTTCTTTTCCTTCCTCTTCTTCTTTCTCTTCTTCTTCTTCTTCCTCCCCCTTCTCTTCTCCTCTGTCGTCCTTTAGCTGGCAAAGCCAAGCATTGAGTTCAGAAACTCCCACTAGATGGCAGCAGGTCATGGGCAGTCAGCCTGGTGATTGGCAGGTAAGCATGACAAGCATCGATCTCACCTCTCCCCAGCCACGGCAGCCCACGGCATTTCCCACACCTCCTAGACTCCACGGCTGACGCGCTTGGTCGTCTCAGGTATGCTCGTATTCCCTGCTGTTCACTGCAAGCCCCATCAGATACGGCGAGACCTGGGAAGCAGCAAGAGATCTTAGATTAGGCTGCAGCAGTGGGTAACATCACCCCACAACCTCATCAGGTATCCTGGCTTGCCAGGTTTCGGGGAAGTGATATCCGTAACAGACTGCGTCACCGAAATCTGTTCAATCTGTGATACATTCGGAAGTGCAGACGGGCTTCTGAGTTCTGAGCCAAAAACAAAATCTGATTTCTGATAGATTTCCGAGGCCCGACTCAAGTTTTCAAACATACGGTTGTAAAGAGACTTTTTCGCATGGGTTTTGGTAATGCTAGATCCCCCCCCCCCACACACACACACTGGCGGCTGCACTGGCTAGCTGCACAACATCTCGTATAAAGTGACATATTTTTCGATCTCTGTATCATACGACAGATGCAACGACCAAGGCATTATACGATTCGTCAAATATCACGCACCCACTCAGTGTGTCGACAAATCTAGGCGACGAGTTGAAAGCCACTGCATCACATACCCACAGTGCGCACGCACTGCACCGCGTGTTCCTGCGCTCAAAGTTATTGTTCGCGAGTTCACCGTTTCCTCGTTATAAACACGCTGCGCCCACCTGGTGCACTCTGAACGCACACTTGCGGCTCATGTATCGGTCAGTCAGCGTGAGGGCGCTCCACAGCTTCACCAGATTGCTGAAACAACGAAGGTCACCTTAGACGCACACGCCGTTCTTGCGTAGGTGGCGCCACCACGAGAGGGAGGCTCGCTGAGCTGCGTGACCGTGGGCGAGCGTGAAACAAAGACGTGGCAGATAGCAGATTAGCACACAATCGTGCTGCAGCGCAACTGCATTGTCATCTAGTAATGCCCTAAATGCATTATGGAGTTGGGTTTCGGTGCACTGCTGGCGCATTATAGCTACTACCACGCGTAAATGTCGAAAAACTTACTCATTATTATTATTATTATTGTACAATTAGACCTCGAATAAGGATGGTAATCGATACCCAGATGAAATATCATAACACATATATGCATCACTATGTGAGAGACTTACTGTATACTATTCATTACTACTATTATTATTATTATTTATTACTGGCTGTGTACTCGAAGTATGGCTGACCGATCTCCCTCATTGTATTTCAGCACATCGACTGCTACCATGGCTCCACCTATCTGCAGAAGTATGAAAAACACTAAAGTTAACATTTATAAAGATGAATTTGCACAAAACGTGTAAATGTAATTGCAAAATGTGGTAAAAATGAATTCTGTTATTGTTGTACATTTACATATGATATGAGACACGATATTCTTATATGTGAATCTGAGTGCAGTGCACTGAATAGCTCAGTATGTCTATAGTTCGACCGATCCTCAGTATCTAAGTACAGGCGTTGCCTAGCAAAGACTGAACCCAGACGTTGCATTGCATTGTCTGCACCTAGCGCGACATACATACCTCGCGTTGCTGCCACTGACAATAACTCCCACATGTCACTAGACTGAAGGTATGAGGACAGATCATCGGTAAGTGATATCGGGAAACACAGGTCGGCACACCGTGATAGCGTCGCTTAGCGTATAGCATTGGTAAAAATAGATTGGTGTCCCCGGTAACACTCTTTCCCCAGAACACGTTTTACGTACATCGCCAAACAGTCGAGTCAGTGCAGCAGTAACTGCTTGTTTGAAGTAGACATTGGTCAGCTCCACCGGGAGGGCTTTGGCTGGATTCTGAACATCCCTGTCAAGGAATATAATTATATGTATATAGATAGATAGATAGTGTCAGATTCACAGTCACAGGTGACAATGTCAATGGTTAAAGCGCTGTAAGTGTAAGTGTAATGCAAAATGTCATCGCAATCGGGGAAAATCTTGCGGCAGCACTAGCACTAGAATTTTCTGCATCACTTTCTAAGTTTGTTAACCGTCGCAAATTAAATACAGACGCCAGACACTACCTGAGAACTAGTATAGTAAGTAGGATTGTACACGAAATGACACTGGCTTGAATTTCTAAGAATTGGCGTACACAATAAGAAGCCTGGGACACTTACAGAATTACAGTTACAAGTTACATAAGCAATGGTAAAAGCAAAACTACTTACAGTGAAACTCGCATATAGTGAAACTCAGATTTCGTAATTACTCTTCTCTCATACATCTTTATCACGTCGCATTAAGGTGGAAACACCAGCTCAAAAAATAACTTGTAAGTTGTGGAATCTTGCTGAAATGAGGTTTGGGTGGATATATGTTTCTATGCCACCGACTGATCGCGTGACGTCAGTGTACGTCACGCACGAACTCGGCT